CCCTCCCCCAGGTCCACTCCACCATGTAACCTTTGCTCTAGACTCTTGTCATGACAAAAATACCTAATCACATATCCCTTTTAAACAGTTTTCTCCCTCATCTGTTTCAATGCAGTATACATTATTGAACCCATCTTTCTCAGTTTAAAGTTTTCTAATAGTCACATTTCAAATAAAAAGAAGCAAACGAAGCTAATTTTTAAATGTTTATTTAATTAATATGCCTAAAATGATCACCGTAACATTGTATTGTTTTACATTGTTTCTTTGATACTAAGCACTTGAAATTCAGAGTGTACTTTACACTCACAGAGCTTCTCAAAGTAGACTAGCCCCACATAGCATACTCAGCAGCCACATTCATGTAGTGGCTACCACAATGCATGAGACACCTCTAGATTTTTCAGTATAGAGCTTTAGAAACATTCTGTCTGGTCAGTCATGTGTTGGCCCTCAAGGGGAAGAACAGATCCTGTGTTTGGGACCTTTGATGACCTTGGCTTACCTGAAAGTTTTTTAAAAAAAAAAATTTTTTTTAGTCCAAATCCTCCATATGTGAACAAAGCCCAAAATGTAGGTTTGAAACTAAGCACTTTGAAAATAATAACAAAAAAATCTTCATTGCTTTATTTTGACTACACTGTGCTCATTATCATACAGAATTTGAGCTGGTGTAAAAGCTCTGCTCATGCATTCTTTAAAAGGGATACATGTTAAAAAAAAAAGTACCTGTACTTTCAAACACTGTGAAATAATCTTGTCATTAAACTTCACAGACACTGTGCAAACAAAATCCAGAGTGTTAAGCAGCCTCTAATTTCTGTGCATAATGCTTGGACTTGTTAGGAATGATTTGAAATGTGCTGTGTTGATTTTTAAAAGAAGCCAAAATGTCCTTCCTCTGGACCCTAAAATCATTGTGCATTAGTGGTCAGAAGCCTGTCGTCACTTAACCATTGTAATGTCTTTCAGTACCATGCGGGAGACGATGAAGTATGTCTATGGACAGCATGGAATTCGAAAAGGATTATATCGTGGTTTATCTCTAAATTACATTCGCTGCATTCCCTCTCAAGCAGTGGCTTTTACAACCTATGAACTTATGAAGCAGTTTTTTCACCTCAATTAAAACAAAAATATCCCCCTTAATATGCTGTCACAAGGGGAAATAAAATGTTACTTTAATTGGGGGGAACATTACTTGAAGGGGGATATATTTATCTTTTCACAGGAACCACTGGTATTTTAGTACTTGATTTTTTTTGGAGAAGGGATGTCACAAATCAAAAGTACTTTCACATTTTTTTAATGCCAAAAGTTGTACTCTAAATCACTGAAAAAAATTCCTAAGCTGATGCTGACTAGTCAGTTAGGTCATTTGAAACCATTTAAAAATGTTATTTGAAAGTACCTTCAAAATGGGTTTCAAGAAATTGCCATTATCTTTATCAAGCTAATCTAAGTTTTCAATTATAATCATGATTTTTATTATTCTGATGATAAACTGGTTTGCTCATATTACAGCAGAAAGAGAAGAACTGAGTTTTTAAGTTCTGTAAAGTAACTTAAAATCAGCCTTACAGTATTATATTTCTTTTCATAATTCTGCTCCACTGGATAAAAAGATAAATGCTTATTGTATTTAAAAAGTATTCATGTAGACACTCAACAATAAATAAATAAACACTTTTCAGGTATTGCTCAAATGTTACTACTAGGTACTATGAGTGATTTGCATGTGGTCATCCTCTCCCCCAAATTTTGTTTATTTTGTTATTGTTGAGAATATATACAACAAAATATACTCCAGTTCAGGAGTTCTACAAGTACAATTTAGTAACATTAATAACATTCTTCCAGCTGTGCAACCATTCTCAAAGACCTCCCTCATTGACATAAATTCACTACTCCCTAAAGTGTCTACTGAGTTATTTTATTTGTTACTGTCAATTCTACCTATGTTATTCTTGAGCCTTGGTGGTATAGCATCTAGTTTATGGGACTGCTTACTGAAAGACCCACCAGCTGCTGCTCTGAGGAAAAAATAGGAAAGATGGACAGTGTCCTTCTGTAAACACTGATAACTTCGTGGAGAGTGGCTGTGAGTCAGGCTAACTCAACATCAGTGAGTGGATAGTTGAGAGGAGTATAATGCTCAAGACAGGTTTTTTAAAACTAGATAATGCATGTATTTTTAAAAAGAATTTTTTTCCAAAGGCAATAGTAATAATTAATATCTTTGCTTCCAAAAACAGATTAGCAGTATAGATTTGTTTTTGTTAGAATGTTTGGTATATACTAGAAAATTTATTTAAATGGACTGTGAATTTCCCATTACTGTAGATATGAATGTCAAAGAATGTTTCTAAGGTATTATATCATGATGCGTCCTCCAGTTCTTCCATGTAAAATAATTTTAGTGCAATAAGTAAAGATGTAAAATATGATGTGAATTGTTACCCTTTATATTAAGAAAGTGGTTTAAAATATATGAATTCATGTATTGTTTTTACAGTACTTTCTATGTTTTATTATAAGCATGACACATATGAGCCGGGAATAATAGTTCTATCCTTAGAAATAGTGATTTGTAGAATTTATGTGAGTTTTTAAAAGACATTAGTTTAACAATTTTGAGCTAAGTAGAAACCAATATATCATTTCGGCTTTAAGGTTATTTTTGCATAAACTAGTTCTTGTCATGTCTTGATAAAAATCTGATGAACTGCTTTCATTTTCAAACTATTTTAAAATCAAGGTGTATCTTTGTATGATTTTTTTAAATTATGTCAACAGGTAAAACATTTGTTCCTCAAATTATTTTGCATATTTTCATTTCAGACCTACCCTGTAGATAAATGTTACCAAATCTTGAGATAATTTAAGTGCATAAAATAAGTATCTCACTCATGTTCATGTTATCACTGAAAGGGGAATGCAAATATTTTTTTAAATAAAAATTTTCACTCTGTTCTAGAATATACAATATAATAAAAGTAATTTTAACCATGTTTCAACAATTATTTCTTTTTAACAATTTACATCATTGAAGTACAAATTCTAAACTTGAGTTAAACTGGAAGACTCTTTGAAGAAATAATGTTTGTGTTAGTATGTGATTTATTATGGACAGATAACATCTTGCCACGTTATCTTCCATTGATACAAAGATTGATACTTTATTTGTTCTCCACTGTTTTTGGTGAGTGTATAGTAGGACAGTAGTCGGGTCTAAGGACTGGTAAGTGAAGTACCATATCTAGCTTTCAGTGGATTCCTGTATAGAAATAGAATTACTTGTCCCATCTTCTAACTGCATACTGGACATCCATTTCTTCAGCACACGTTGTGTGTCAAGTGTTGTGGGGAACTTCGCCTGGGAAGCCTACTTAGCTGTATCCACAGTCTGTTTTGGATGTCATTTGTATCTAACACCAGCTATTTCTCCAGTGGTGTATTTATCACCCAATGTAGTAACCTCCTGCTTACCTGAATCTTTCCCTCTGGTTTCCTTAAGGTCACATTCATTTCCACTGAGGAGCACAGAGTTTGGCACCATAGTAGGTACTCTGGGAACAGTTACTGATGAGAAGGAAGGCAGTCTGGGTGCCCATTTTTAGACCTTATGTTCTACCAGAGAGAAATGAGACACACAAAAAAAGAGCAATTTAGAAATAAAATTATTTGTTTCCAGAGATGTCTTGTTGCTAATTTGAGTGGCAAATAATACATAACAAATAAAGCATTAATATTTTACTGTAATAATACATTCAGTGTAATTACAGTATATTGTAGAAGTGAGCCAGTAATATCTGATATACTTGTCTTTTTTAACATTTTTTATTATTGTTAATTTTAATGAACATTTACAGAGATTTTGGATTTCCATTCATTCATTGTTGCACATTTCTCCCTGCGCCACCCCCCACCCCCAGTTTGCTCTTCTCTTTGAAAAGTAAAATTCCTTCCTTGGTATACAATCTCCCCGCACCCCACCCCCCACCCCGAGTATACTCCACTCTGCAACCTTAATTCCAGACTCTTATGATAATCATACTACCCTATAATATATTGCTTTTAAACTGTTCTCACCCTCATCCGTTTCAATGCAGTATACATAATTTATCCAGTTTTTCTTACCCCAACCCTGATGTCGCAACTACATACTTTATATAACAATTATGCACTCTATGCAATTTATGTCCATTCATACTTCTTATTTACTAAACAATATTTACTGAAAGACAGTAGAAATCAATGACAAACGATGGTAGTCATGTATAGTTCCTGAGTATTTACTGACTGGCCATGTCTTCTTGTAAGCACTTTTGGTACATTAATCCAGTCTCCAAACAATATTACAAGTATTACTAAATGTTTCTTACGGAGAAGCAAGAACCAGTGAGAGTAAGTGATCTGTACAAGATCACATAACAAGTGATGGATGTAGAATTCTTATTTTAGCCTATCAAATCAAATAATTACAGTGTGGTGGTGTGAGGTACCATTGAGTCCACTGCGATGCCAAACAACCGTGAACAAAAGAGCCAAATCTTACTCTGTCCCGCCCATCAGGATTCTTGCCTTGCATAAGTCCATTGTTGCAGTCACTCTCACTCCGTCTCGTTAATGGTCTTCCTGTCTTTCTCTGACCCTTTACCACTGTGTCACTCCTCATTGACAGTCTTCCTGTCTTTCTTGGACCCTTTACCTCTGTGTCACTCCTCATTGACAGTCTTCCTGGTATGATATCTTTATCCAAGGACTGTCCCTACCTGGTGACATGTCTGAAATATGTGAGATGGAGTCATCATTCTTGTCTTGAAGGAGCACTCTGGTCATGTTACCTCTAAGATTTGTTCTTTGGCAGCTCCTGATGTAGTCAATATTCTTCCAACATCAAAAGCATCAATTTTAATGAAAACTTTTTCATTTCATTCACCAGTAATTCTTCGTGGGTCTTGATTGCATAGTCAGTTGTAGACTGCAAACTTTGGTAGAAATCCTGAATTTCTTAATCTTTGGCTTTTGTGGTTGGGGCATATATTTGAATAATTATTGTAATTACTGTATTGATAGGACTTTCTTGGATATGTATGGGTAGTATCCTGTCAGTCATGGCATTGTACTGTTCATCTGTATTTTATACTTTTTTTTCTTTTGTATTTTGTACTTTCACTTTTCAAATTGTCATTCTTAGCATAATTGGTCAAATGATAGTCTGACTCAGAATGGCCTTTACTAGTCCGTGTTGGCTTACTAATGCTTTGGATGTCAAACTTTGTGTTCCATTTTTGACAGCTTCCAATTTTCCTAGACTCATACTTCCACATTTCGTGTTCCAATTATTAATGAATGTTTGCAGCAGTTTCTCCTCATGGCAAGAAGCTGCGCTGCAATCCTGAAGGCACGCTGTTCAGTGCCACTAGCTGCTCTGCAGGGGAAGGATAGGGAAACGCCTCTCATGCAGTTACCTGCCTCTGAAAACCCACTGGAGGGTCAGCTATTAGTCACTTCTGCTCGATGGTACACAACAACAATAACATATCCTACTCTGTTCTTCCATTTTTGTAGGGTTTCTGAAGGCCTGGGGTTTCAGAAGTGAATGACTGGTCCTGCTTTTTAGTCAGCCTTAGTCTAGAAGCTCCACTGAAACAAACTTGTCTACAACAAGTGACCTGCTTGTCTCTGAAATACTGGTGACATAGCTTCCAGCATCATAGCAACACACAAGCCACCACAGTAAGGCACATTAACAGACAACTGGAAGGATTAGGAGGAATTGTTAAGTGGTTAAGGAAAGTTCTTCAAGATGCCAGATGGAGGATGCTACAAAAACAGCCATGAGAAGTTAAAGGGGTAGAATGTCCAGGTGAAGAGTGCAGCAGGTGCCCCAAAACGCTGAGATAATAAAAAGCTTAGTTTGACATAAGGAAGGCCCGTGTGGCTATAGAATTGTGAGTAGCAGGGCAGCAATGGATGAAGTAGAAGACATGGGCAGGGGCAGCTGACCTCAGAAGCTCTGTAGGATGTGGTACTACATTTTGTCAGTAATTCTAAAGACAATGAGAAGTCATTGAAAGTTTTCAGAAGGGAAGTAAAATTGTTAAGTTTTTAAAAAGTCACTGTGCTTTGTCAGCACTGACTTTAAAAGTAGAAAGCAAAAAGTTTTAAAACTAATTTTTCCCAAAAAATAGGAAAAAAAAATCACTCCGCTTCATCAACATTGACAGAAAATAAAAGTAGGGGGGGAAATCACTCTGT